TGTGTGTGTGTGTGTGTGTATGCGTGTCTGTGTGTGTGCGTGTGAGTTTGTGTTTGTGTGTGAGAGACAGACAGACAGACAGACAGACAGACAGACAGACAGACAGACAGACAGACTGACTCATGCCATGGAGAAGTTATACCAAAGTCAAAATCCTCCTATTTGTAGAAGACATTGCGCTTTTGATCGAATCAAAGGGCAACTTCTTGTATGTCTAGCAAAACACCACGAACATTCAAATCGTACCCAAGACAAAATCCGAGTCCTACGATCGTCTTTTTAAAGCTTGAAAAAAAAAATGAGACGAAAATCTATTTTCTGTAAAAAATCACACGACATTCGAATAGCTCTGCAACGCTTTGAATAGCTGTGAATAGCGCGGGGGCGGGGGGGGGGCTTGTGAACGTTGAATATTAAAGTCGACTAAGCAGACAGACACATACAAAGAGCGATAGTTAAACGCGCAAGCAATAAAGAGTAAAAGCCTTGAACATTCGTGAGTAGACAACACACAGTAGATCTATACTCACAACAAACCATGCAAAAGATTTTCACTAAGCTTCTAAGATTATGTTGTTTGATTTGTTGGGTCTGTAGATTTATCATTTAAGCGCCTCATAGTATAGCATGTTTGTGTGTGTGTGGCAGAAGCAGAGAGGACGAAAGACCGGCTCGTGCACACCAAACATCCGCGTACGTGTGGTATCGTGCATTCGTCTAACGCACAAACGCGTGCCCACTTCAGACCTATCATCCGTCTTTTCGTACGTAATCGTATGTGTTTTTTATATCATCATGGATGCTAAGACTCAACTGAAGATGTTGCTTTTGTTAAAAGAAAGAAATAAGAGGAGGAAAAGGAGGTCTTGGATCCACTCAAGTTTGGTCGACAGACAAATATCAGGCGAATATGACCATCTGCTACCCTAAATTTTGTCACAGGTAGACAGCGGTATTGGATACATTCGAAAGAGACCAGATACATTTGACAGCCTCTTGAGTTTGCTGACATCCCACATTGGAAAAAAAAAAGCACCAATTACAGACAAGCCATTTCACCTCAGGAAAGACTGATCATAACTCTCAGGCAGGTTCATTTACAAAACAATTTTTTTTTATTAAACTCAACACCAAATGCCAATGATTTTTAATTCAAGGTTACTTGTCGATATGTTTGAAGAACTATCAAGCGAAAGACATTTTAAAAATAGATTGCTAAAGAGAATATTGATATTGATGATACTGATATTGGTCTTCACACATTTCTTGCTCTCCCGTTCACAGCATATTTTGTGGGCTCCGTTGCAGTAGCACGTGCTCTTTTCAAATGTTTGAATAAAACACTGTGCATTTCTGCTTGCAGCTCCATCTTCTGTAAGACGTCTAATGCCTTTATCTTGGGAATCATGCTCTTAAAGAAGAGCAGGTCCTCGTCTTCCTCCTGTGGGGGCACATAAAGTGCTGTAGGGATAGTTCTTAGTGTATCCAGAATTTCACGTTGTATATCAATATCAACCTGTGCTGATCTTTTTCTGGTTGCGCAGCTGAAATGTCGTTTTGAAGCAGGCGTATTTTGTTCGACCTCAGCATCTTCTAGTCCCGGTGGTGTTTCAACAGCCGAGACGGTAACGTCTTCTTTTTGTACTGGAGAGTGGATGGACGGCACCTCTGTTGAGGATTGTGAGACGGTATCAGTGGCATTCAACTCTAGGTCATTTATCTCAGACAGGTTGCTCGGTGCTGGTCTGTCGTTGACGTAAGGCACCAGAAATGTCATGGAATCATACAGGGGCCATTTCTTTTTCTTGGATGGCCTAGGCCCTGACTTGAAAGCTGTCATCTCTCTATGCTGTCTCTGAAAATAGTCCCGTAAACTCGTCCATTTTTTCTTTGCAACGGCACCTGCAACAGAAATATGAAATTTAAAATGGCTTTTACAAACATCGCAAAACACACATGTACGTTTTAAAAAAAGACGATTCGCTTTGTGTCATTTTGTACGTTATATTTTTGTGAGTAAATTAAATATTGCGTAGAAGCTGGTGGAGATTCATCATTTCCATGCAGGTTCTTGCTTCAGAAGAAAGTAAGCATTCCCTGGCTTTTTACTATTGGGTCGGCTTGTCTACAGTGCATTCGATTGTGCGTGACTCTACACATGCAATGTGGGAAGTTCTACAACCACAATACGGGGTGGGGTGCCCATTACTGCTGGATCGGGCCGATCGCTCGACTAGGAGGCCCGAAAATGAAAACAAACACGTTTGTTTTTGAGGAGACTGAGAGTCGGGCGATTGGCCCGACCCGCTGATCCCATCCGTAGTGGGCACAAGGCTGCTGATGGCCCCAGCCGAAGAAACATGGTTGAACATAGCAGAAGGCGTTCACAACAGATGGGACTTTCCTTTGTGTTTAGGTGCTATAGACGGCAAACATATTAGAATATAAAAAAGTCATGGGAAACAGAATCAAAATACTTTAATTACAAGGGATATTTTCTGTTGTTTTGTTAACAGTTATGGGTGGCAAAGGACAGTTCGTCATAGTTGATGTAGGATCATGCGGGGGTAACAGTGAAGGTGGAATTTTTGAGAGATCAGAATTCGGAAAAAGACTCGCCCACCATACTTCATTTGCCAAAAGAGAGCACTTTGCCAGTTACTGACATTAGTAATCCTTTCATGTTTGTAGCTGATGATGCATTTCCATTAAAGGATAATAATGTAATGAAGCCATTTCCACAAAAACGTTCAACATATGAGAAAGAATTTTTTAACTATAGACTCTCATGGGCTCGAGGAGTTGTTTTTCATG